TGCACGCACCCCGACCAGGGCGGGGGAACCTGCAGCCGGGGAACATGCCTTTGACCGGAATCGAACCCGGGACCCTCCAGTCCAGGGGCTGCAGCCGCTGCTGCCGCTCTAACCACTAAGCCACACAGTCCGGGGAGGCCGCCTTGAAACCCGTGTGCACCCACCCACGCAGCCCACGCCCCGGGGAGCCCTGGCATTCAGGAAGTCGGGCCTGGGTGAACCCCACAGTGCAGTGAAGTGGTTTAGGGCACTTTGCATATCGCCGAGCGTGGAAACAAAGAAGAAAAGAAAAAAAACCTGTGAGTGACATGTGCTCCTGGGTTTCGGCTGGGGCTGCGCGCTCCTTCTAGAAGTCTCTCCGGCTCCCTGATACTCACCCTTCCCTCCCACCTGCCCGCCAGGGCCCAGGGCGCCCGTGGCGGTGAGAGGCACTGCCTTCGTTGGATGTCGAAAAGCTGGGACTCTAGCGGGACTTATTTATATTTGGCTTCGGACGGCACCGTGGTCGGCAAACCGCGGCTCTCGGGCCCCTGGAGGGCGGCTCTTCCACAGAACCCCACGGCCCGGGCGGGTCTGTGTGGGGGACGTGGCGTTAGGAGACGTTTACGTGTAAAAAACGTGGCTCTCGGGAGACACGTCCGTCTGGTGCTGTTGGTATCTGGCTCTGTGGACGGATGAGTTTGCCGACCACATGCTAGGCACATGCTCCTTGAGAGAGCCGCCTGCAGGTGTACGAGGAAAAGACAGACCCCATTTCAGCCCGGCCGGCGGGGCTCCGTGGTGGAGCGTAGACCTGTGAACCAGGAGGTCAGGGTTCGATTCCCGGTCAGGGCACAGGCCAGGGTTGCGGGCTCCATCCCCAGTGGGGGGCGTGCAGGAGGCAGCCCATCCATGATTCTCTCTCCTTATCGGTGTTTCTGTATCTCTCTCCTTCTCCCTTCCTCGCTCAAATTAAAAAAAAAAATACACACACACACACACACACACACACACACACACACACACGTGTTTGCCCCAGCTGGTTTGGCTCCGTGGATATAGCATCCATCAGCCTGTGGACTGCAGGGTCCCGGGTTTGATTCTGTTCAAGGGCACAGGCCTGGGTGGCAGGCTTGATCCCCATTAGGGGACATGCAGCAGGCAGCGGATCCATGTTTCTCTCTCATTTCTGTTTCTATATCTCTCTCCTCCCTTCCTCCTTCTCTCTCTCTCTCTCTCTCTCTCTCTCTCTCAAAAAAAAAAATTATATGTATGTTTGCCCTAGTGGGTTCGGCTCCATGGATGGAGCATCAGCCTGTGGGCTGAAGGGTCCCAGGTTCGATTCTGGTCAAAGGCACCTGCTTGGGCTGCAGGCTGATCCCCATTAAAGGTCCCGCAGGAACTCCCGTTCCAGCATTCGGTAGCTGTTGATTATTACTCCGATAGGGATGGCTGCAGAGTTTATGTAGGGTTTCCCCCCCAAAATTGTACACGCACGCATGCACGCTGTAATTAGACAGGCGTTGTGCATTCGAAGGCATTTCCTTTTCCAAACCGAGCCCTCGGCTCTGGAAGGCTGTAGCCATTCTCTGTGGGGAGACGCCGTGTTTTTGACGGTTGGGCGATCACTTGTCTCTGTGGGTCACGTGCTCTGTAGGTGCCTCTGTGGGTCACGTGCTCTTTATTTTTGCTGCTGGAACCCAAGGTGACTCCTGGGTTTTTCGGGTGAATGACCCCACCTCCCCCTCTTCCCTTTACCTGGGGGTGAGGTGCCTGGGCCCAGGGTGGCGGCCTCCATCCCCAGTAGGGGGCGGCGTGCAGGAGGCAGCCCATCCGTGATGATTCTCTCTCATCCTGGATGTTTCTCTCTCTCTCCTCTCCCCCTTCCTCCTTCCTCTCTGAAGTCAATAAAAACATATTAAAGGCAAATAAAGCGAAGAAAAGGCGGTTGCTGTATCTGCAAGACCTGCATTTCAGATTTTAATAGAAATATGTTCTAGCCCTCAGCAGTGTGGCTCAGTGGATAGAGCGTCGGCCTGCGGACTGAAGGGTCCCGGGTTTGATTCCGGTCAAGGGCATGGACCTTGGTGGCGGGCACATCCCCAGTGGGGGGCGTGCAGGAGGCAGCTGGTGGATGTTTCTCTCTCATCGTCGTGTCTAACTCTCTCTCCCTCTCCCTTCCTCTCTGTGAAAAATCAATAAAATATATTAGAAAAAAAATTTGGCCAAAGCCGGTTTGGCTCAGTGGTAGATCCTTGGCCTGCGGACTGAAGGGTCCTGGGTTCGAGTCCAGTCAAGGGCATGGACCTTGGTGGCGGGCGCATCCCTGGTGGGAGGCGTGCAGGAGGCAGCTGGTCGATGTTTCTCTCTCATCGATGTTTCTAGCTCTCTCTCCCTCTCCCTCCCTCCCTGTAAAAAATCAATAACATATATTTAAAAAAATAATGTTTAAAGGCCGTTGGTGAGGAACCACAGGCTCTGCCGAGCGGGCGGGCCGGGGAAGATCAGATAGGGTCCTTTCCTCTCTCACTTCCTCCTCCTTATCGCCGAATCTGGACACACCGCCTGCGTCTCTGCAGCCGGGGAAGGTCCAGAAATTAGTCATTTCAGAAGCCGTTCCGCCTCGGTCTGCGGCCGGTGCCTCCCGTGTTGCAGCCGTGAATGCTGGACGCGTGTAACGTGTGACCTGAGCGGTGGTGGGGAGGAGCATATGTGTGCACGTGTGCAGAAGCCCGGGAAGCGAGGGCAGGGGTGCCAGGGTCTGCGAATTAAAATATCCGTCGCCCTAGCCCCGTGGTCAGCAAACGGCGGCTCCCGAGCCACCTGCGGCTCTCTGGCCCCTGGAGGGCGGCTCTTCCACAGAACACCACGGCCCGGGCCGGTCTGTGTGGGGGACGTGGCGTTAGGAGACGTTTACGTGTAAAAAACGTGGCTCTCCAAAGACATGTCCGTCGTGGTGCTGTTGGTATTGGGCTCTGCGGACGGATGAGTTTGCCGACCACGTGTGGGGCTAACCTAACCGGTGTGGCTCCGTGGATAGAGCGTCGGCCTGCGGACTGAAGGGTCCCGGGTTCGATTCCGGTCAAGGGCGTGGGCCTTGGTTGAGGGCACATCCCCAGTAGGGGGTGTGCAGGAGGCAGTTGATCGATGACTCTCTCTCATCGATGTTTCTAGCTCTCTATCCCTCTCCCTTCCTGTCTGTAAAAAAAATCCATAAAATGTTTTTAATAATAATAATTAAAAAAAGAAAAAGAATCACTACCTAATCCTACGAGAATACCCCGTGTGTCTCATACTCATGACTGTAAACTGATTAAAAAGCAGCAAGATATATCAAACACACACACACACACACACACACACACACACAATTTGTTGATCGTGTGGTGCTTAGAAGAGGGAGCTTTCGCATTGGGGGAAATTTTTTAGGTCTTGGTCACTGTTATGGTAATACCAAAAGGCTAATATGCACATGGTTGTTACGCTCCATCAGCAGGAGGCTCCGTTCCCTGCCTGGTGGGGCTTGACGGGGGACCTGAGGCTGCGTCCCCCCTCCCTCCCCCTTCCCTGGGCAGGGCTTGAGGGGGTGGGGGTCTCATTTGTGCGATTTTGAGGCACAAATGGGTGGGTGGGGACTTGACTCTGGGGCCTGTGGCAGGAGGGAGATTTTCTTTCTTTTTTTAAAAAAAATACATTTTATTGATGTTTTACAGAGAGGAAGGGAGAGGGATAGAGAGTTAGAAACATCGATGAGAGAGAAGCATCCATCAGCTGCCATCTGCACGCCCCCCACTGGGGATGTGCCCGCCACCAAGGTCCATGCCCTTGACCGGAATCGAACCCGGGACCCTTCCGTCCGCAGGCCGGCGCTCTATCCACTGAGCCACACCGGCCAGAAACACATCAACACATTGATCCTCTGTGGGACGTTTGTTGTCCTGGATGAATCGAGATTGAACATCTGTGGCTCCTCCTGGCCCTTCCCTTTCCTTGGCGGTTCATCTAAGATTAAAAAAAATAATAATAATAAAAAGCAACCACCACACAAAACACGCGCTCCGGTGCCTGGCTCCTGGGGCCTCCGGCCCCTCGCTGCTGATGGTTCGATTACCGCCATCCCCCGCGGCTCCCGGGGCGGGCGCGGAAAAGAGATTGCTGGCCCCGGCGAGGTGTTTGCAATCCAATTCTCACCCATTAGCCCCGTCGGGCTGAGCTTGGGCTCAGCAGCCGTCGGCTCGGAGTGACTCGATCCGGTGATGGACTGAGGTCTTCCCTGTGGGATAACGGGCCTCGCTTCCGGGTCCTGGGATACACACGCGCCTGCTACTCTGACCCACCTGAGCGTTTATTATTTTTTAAAATAACATTTTATTGATTTTTTTTTTTTTTACAGAGAGGAAGAGAGAGGGATAGAGAGCTAGATGAGATGAGAGAGAATAATTTGATGCGAGAGAATCATTCTCACCCATCAGCTGCCTCCTGGGGATGTGCCCGCAACCGAGGTCCATGCCCTTGGCCGGAATCGAACCCGGGACCCTTCAGTCCGCAGGCCGACGCTCTATCCACTGAGCCACTCCGGTCAGGGCTAAACGCTCCATTTACTTATCTTGCCTTATTCCTCAGCCCCACAGCCTTCAGACGTAGGTAACGGGTTGTCTGTTCAGCAGACGGTGCTCCAGGGGCTAGGTGTAGCCCTGAGCCGTCATGGATCGGACAGGAAGCGGTACCCTCACTCTCCTTGGTGTGAGCTTCAGATCAGACCTCATACCTGGAGCCACATTTCTGTTTGAATTCTCACACCTCACCCCCCGGCGGGGTCTGCCAGCGCTGGCCTGCGCCCGGCGGCTGGACGGTCCAGGGGAGACAGGCTGCCATCCGGGGCCAGGCTGGGCGTCTTCACAATGGCGCTCGGACCCGGCTCAGGGGATTTTCATGACGGCGGCCGTGACTGTGTGTGTGTGTGTGTGTGTGTGTGTGTGTGTGTCTGCCTCTCTCTAATGCCGTGTATCTGTTCTTTACAGATCCCGTGGTTTTGTGGAAATTCCCAGCGAACTTTGGAGACCAGGTTAGAATCCCATCCTTAAAAAAAAAAAAAAAAAAAATATATATATATATATATATATATATATATATATATATATATCTCCCATGTTTCCCCAAAAATAAGACATCCTCCGAAAATAAGACCTATCGCATGGAAAGATAAGACATCCCCTAAAAATAAGACCTAGCGCAACTTTGGGAGAAAAAAATTAATATAAGGCACTGTCTTATTTTCGGGGAAACAGGCTATATATATATATATATATATATATATATATATACGAGAGCCTTCCTGACTCATGATGGCATTTGGAAATAGTGGTTTCTCTTTTAAAAAATGTATTATTTATTGATGTCAGAGAGGAAAGGGGAGAGAGAGAGAGAGAGAGGAGAGAGAGAGAGAGAGAGAGAGACTGGACTCATGGATCGGC